CGCCCACGTGCACTTCAACCCAGTCACAGCTCGCTGTAACACACCAGTCAAACGTGAAACGATGTGAAAACCAACCGCACACACACATCTTTCCCACAACACCTCACAAGAGTATAAAACTGCCATCGTACCCTTCCAATGCATCACACTATCCAAGACCCTCTCAGTGCGTCTACCGTCTCCGAAGACTCCTCCAATATGGCCGCCGGTCGTTGTCTTTTCGCTGCGCTCTTCGTGGCTGCCCTGGCGACAGTGACCCTGTGCCAGTTCGAGCTGGGTGGTTACGGGAGCCCGTTCGACGCCGGATTTGGAGGGTAAGTTAAAAAAACCCTCTGGCCTATCCACGGCGACATTTAGCAACTCTGGTCAAGTTTAACTTTGTTGCTTTCTTCCATGAATATGTTTTATAATTTGTATAAAAATCACATAAATTAATCCTTAGATTTGCTTTGCAGACCACTAGTTAGGGATGCAAAATCCGAGCTTTTCAATTAGAAGTTATTATGTGAAATATACTGGCCGAAAATAGCGTTCAATACCGCCTTTTTGGATCCGCCAATGTATGAATACCTAGCTGGGTCAAAACCTAGGACAAATGCATACCAGAACATATCCAGAGAATACATATTCGGAGCGGAACGGTTTACATCATTCGACCTCTCAACATTTCTTCATCTAACGTCATCCGTTAGCATTACCTTCACTTAGCTAACACCCCGTTCATCCTCCATCAGGCCAGGAGGCTACGGCGGCCCCAGTGGCAGCTTCAACAGTTACTGGAACGGCTACGACAACGGCTACGGCGGTACGACGCTCTACCCTCGGGATGGAGCTGGCTACGACCCCGGCTACGGCCGTGGCTACGGAGTCTACGGCGCCGGCTATGGCTACGACGGGTTCTTCTAAAAATAGCACGCCACAGCCATGTTGGGGAAATACGGTTGTGATCTTTTCAGCCTGTAATATTTGGTATTTCTTCTGCGTTCAGTTGTTGACAAAAATTGCAATTTCGTTAGCGTGTAATCAAGTGGATTTGTGATCGTCATTCGTCATTGTCCAATCCAGTGATTTTGCGCTTGTATCATTCGGCATCCAGTCACCTGATGCCGTTACTCGACTCCATGCCCGTTCATCGTTCCTCTGACGTCACTGAGTTGGTCCTGTGACGTCATCAGTGTTGTGTCGCTGTCAGCTGAGCCCGCTGGGTGTCGCTAAGGGTACCAGAGCGGCGGCGCGTAACCGACTGGAAACACTGGTGGCGTGGGTGAATTTGTGCGGTTCGTATATCGGTTTCCCGCTGTTCTTGTGTCACTTGAAATTAATGTGTTGTGAAATACATGCATGTGCAACAGCAGGACGTAAAGTTGACGATATTCGAGCTCACGCAATATAGCTGGACGAGTCGAGCAGTGTAAAGCAGCGAGCAGCGTCGCTGGACAAACACCAAACACAACTGGAGTTGCGGATGATTGAGTGCAATTTAATAGCCGTTTATCAAAGCGGAAAAGCTTACGCACACGAGCATCAAAATTTCTAGGATATATTATTTGTTTTAATGCGAACCATCAAACACAACAGCTGTTTGCCCTTTGCAGCCAGGACTTTGTCGCTAAACCAAGTGCTCTTGTCCAATATTCAGTACCGCTTGAGATCGCGCTACATCATATTTTCGTTTATTACGGAGCGAGCGAAGCGAGCGAAGTCTTTCCTTAGATTAACGGAAATTTCTGAGTATGAGCGGCCGCCCGGCCGGCCGGCCGGCCGGCCGGCCGTGCGGACGCTTTTGCGAGGCTTATATCTCAGCAACCACTTGACCGATTTACACGCGGTAATTTTTGTAGGGTAGCTTCATTCCTTCTACCAAGTATTGGACTATTCCCGATGCATATAGGTGACCCCTTATGCACGTGCCACGTGCAAAACGAAGAGGTGTCAATTTTGTAATTGTTGCAATATCTCGGTAACTACTTGGCCGATTGCGCTGAAAGTTGGCATGTAGGTAGGCACCCACTAGGCACTGCATATCCATGTGCCAGAGTTGGGGTGCTGCTGCACGTGCGCACGTGCAGGGGTCGTTTCCAGATCTCGAGAACGGCTGGACCGATGGCGCTCAAATTTGGTACACGGTTAGGGACCAGTTAGTAGGGTGCCGTGCACAAGTCAGTTGGGACCCATTTTGCACGTGCGCACGTGCAGGGTGCCGCTCCTAGATCTCGAGAACGGCTGGGCCGATTGTGCTCAAATTTGGCACATCGCTAGAAACCGGTCAGTAGGGTGCCGTGCACAAGTCAGTTGGAGGTACCCCCTCGAAATTTCGCACGTGCAAGACTCACCCCCTCGCTCGCTCCGTTAGTCGCCCCAAAAGGCGCTATACTGGTTTTATTATTACCACAAACGTCACTTCCTCAGCTGTTATTTTCACAGTTACAGTGATAACAGCAATATTGTGACCTATTGAACTACGACACATATTTTAAATACCTATGTTAAAACCAAGTTCTATCTAAGGACAGGACATTCGTCTTTCAAGATATAGTTAACTGAAATGATAATTACGGAGCGAGCGAAGCGAGCGGAGTCTTACGTAGAATAACGGAAATTTCTGAGTATGAGCGGCCGGCCGGCCGGCCGTGCGGACGCTTTTGCGAGGCTTATATCTCAGCAACCACTTGACCGATTTACATGCGGTAATTTTTGTAGGGTAGCTTCATTCCTTCTACCAAGTATTGGACTATTCCCGATGCATGTGGGTGACCCCTTATGCACGTGCCACGTGCAAAACGAAGAGGTGTCAGTTTTGTAATTGTTGCAATATCTCGGTAACTACTTGGCCGATTGCGCTGAAAGTTGGCATGTAGGTAGGCACCCACTAGGCACTGCATATCCATGTGCCAGAGTTGGGGTGCTGCTGCACGTGCGCACGTGCAGGGGTCGTTTCCAGATCTCGAGAACGGCTGGACCGATGGCGCTCAAATTTGGTACACGGTTAGGGACCAGTTAGTAGGGTGCCGTGCGCAAGTCAGTTGGGACCCATTTTGCACGTGCGCACGTGCAGGGTGCCGCTCCCAGATCTCGAGAACGGCTGGGCCGATTGTGCTCAAATTTGGCACATCGCTAGAAACCGGTCAGTAGGGTGCCGTGCACAAGTCAGTTGGAGGTACCTCCTCGAAATTTCGCACGTGCAAGACTCACCCCCTCGCTCGCTCCGTTAGTCGCCCCAAAAGGCGCTATACTGGTCATAGGTATGCCTACTAGTCAATACTGACTTAGAAGAAAAACATTCAGCTTTTATACATACATTTCTGTCTATTTGGGCTTACACAACTAATACAAGCTTTATAACGGTTATCGCCTAAATGGCAAAACCGAAAAAGCAAAAACCGGTACATCATCGAGTTCACTTCATGTTCCTCAATGTCTACAGAAACTGGTGGAAGAAATTAACCCTCGCCGGCCGAGGGGGGGGGGGCGGGTGCCGCCCCCCCATAGGGTTTTTTCGCGATAGCTCCGAACACGCTGGCGATAGAGCTGAAACTTGGCATACCTGACCTTTGATACAAGCCGCATCTTTTGACACCAACCGCATTTTTGGGTCAGGTCAGGTCACTGACCTATGATGTCATAAGTGAACCTCTGCACGGTCTTCAGATGTCGCAACTTCGCAACGCCCTCACTGCCAGAGGAGATGTCACAGGGAAATGAAGCTTGCAGGAACTAGTATCCATTATGAGTCCCACAACTTGTATATCTCGGATTTTTCCTAAAGGTCATATGAGGTCAGGTCATTTTCGTGACCTCACCATTATAAGTCAATGGGGAAAAATGAAAACAGCTATTATGGCGCCGGGAACGATCTCCAACTATCTCAAGCACACAGAATCGTGATTTTATGCACTCCTTGCAAGGTTAGATGCGTCACTTTTGCAATGTTGACCTTGCGTGACGTCATTAATGACGTCATCAAGGTCATATTAGTTTTTCGTCAATAACTCTTGATCAAATTGAGCTAGCGAGTCGGGAAAGCCACCAATGGACTCAGGAAGATCTGCCGAATCGAATGATATGCGACATGACCCCTTTCGACCAACGTCGTGACCTGGGGGTGCTGACCTGACCTTGACCTGAGGTCAACACTCCAAGTTGACCTGACCCGGACAAAAAGTATATCATTCGACGCGCCTGAGCGAGACGAACACGATGCTGCCAAAATCGGCGCTCTGCGGCCGTTTTTTGCGAAGTTATTCACCAAAAACTGAACCGTACCTTGGGGCACTTGACCTGACCTCAGAGGTCACCGGTTGACCTGGGACCTTAAAATCGGGTACCAATCTCTGCGTCTCGTAACGGCGCACACGCTCGTTTTTTCCGCGACGCGCTAGCTCCACCAGGGGCGAAACGGCGAGGGGGGGGGTCGTACCCGCCCCCCCCCCCCCCCTCGGTATGTAGAAAACCAATAGGTCCGGCGAGGGTTAAAGAATTTAGATATAGATTTTCAGTTATAAATGCATGGTCAATAGAGTGGGAAAGTGCGCTTTCTTTGCCTTTTTGTAGTCACGTGTTACCTGCTGGCGACCCAACATCCGCACCACATAAGTCTGCAGAAGGCATGGCGAGAACTTCTACTGGTTATCGTGCGGTCACAAAAGGCTAGTCGTTACCACCTGGGGCGTATTTAGTATACCCAATGTGCCAGCACAATACATATTCCACAGCATGACCTTGGCCGCTCAAACTATGCAGACGTCATTTAGCTACAGTCGATAGCAAACACATCACACGCAAAACAACAGTAACTAGCCACATGACTAGTAAATGACTTTTCATCACATACCAGCAGCATACCTTTCACCCCTACACACCAGCCGTGTGAGTCGACAGTATACCCACTCAGTTTCTTGATCCCCCTGGTTACCTAGCCAGTCCTTCCCCATGGAAACGGCGCCCCAACTGACCGAGGCTGTGGGGTCAGCCCCCATCGCACAGCACACCACGGCAGTACACCTCGGCCGAGTCCCGACACCGCGGCTCGGCGCCGGGCGCTCACCATGGGGGGTGCTTCGCGAAGATTATCTTCTTGTCCAGCGCCACTGCTCTTGCTGTTGCTGGCTAACATCGCTCACCTGACCTCTGGGAGGCTGCCCGAGGGCATGTACGTGGTCAGGTCGGCCCCGTTCCTGTTCAAGAGTGAGGGTTTGCTGACAGAGCCGACTGCGGTTCTTAGGAGCTCCACCAAGGCCACTGAATGTGAGTTGGGGGAGGATGATCGGAGTCTACAGCTGCCGACGGCGTAATATATCTGAAGCGATATATGTCTCGATTTGTCAGAGTCCACTTACCCCGTTAACATAAGCGTTAAAAGTAGCATGAAAACATGCATATCATTACCAGTATTAAAAAAAAAACTGAGAAACATAATCAAATCAATAGGATACATTTTTCTACAATGGTTAACACCAGCGTTATAAAAGTCTTAACGCCACCCACCATCACGCAAGAACACAGGACAAGATTCAAAATATTATCGAGGCCAGCATGCCAGAAACAGTTTAGGATAACTTTTTCTAATACCCAAAACGATTATCAATCGGCTTTAGATAAGATAAAGTGTTTGCCTGTAAGTTGAAAATAATTTCATCAGGACGAAATTCGAGGACATTTTTTAGTTTCAAGGAAACATTTTGGGGAGTTCATATGCCCCATTCTTGCGGCATCCAACACTGGATCTTTTCTGGATCAGATATCTGAGCTTTCACAGGATAGGATATCCGATATCCGTAGGCGATCATTGCTATGCTTCTATGGTCAGTTCAGGACAATGCTCGCTAGGACTGTGATGTTTTTTGTCCATTTTATGGTCACATTAACATTACATTTCAGGTATTGTCATAAAGGTATTCATTTGTCAACTTTCCAACAACACATTGATCGCCAAGTCGATACCATGGTGCAGGAACATTGTATGTTCCTAAGCGAACGAAATTTGATGGACATTCTATTCAGAATCATGCATTGCATAAATTCGCGCTTTTCCTGACAGAATTATAAAACAAGTGATTTTCGAAATTTACAAAGCTTTTATCAGTGAACAGTACGATGCATGACTTCGAAAATTGAGAATCGCGGGAAATAATGCGTTTATCTACACACAAAATACACCTCGGTAAAAAGACGTGATCGAGCGAACGGAACACAGGTTCTGGCCGAATGACATAAAAGATGTCACGGCTGTCTCACTACAATAATGAACAAAACCAAGCAGCAAGTACAGGCTAGTGCGACTTGGTAAACCTAGCATAACGATATTCTCTCACGCACGGTCATACGCCACACGAGGTAGGCCCAGGCATATTTATGATTCATGTCAAGGAAGGCATTCCTTATGACCGGGCCCGGTACGATTAAAGTCAAAAGGTCACTAGGTAAGCTAGCCACTGCCAACCGCTTTTCCAAAGAGCCCACTGACATGAACCAAAGTTGGCGAAAGGTAACCACAGACTCGCACCGCGGGTCACTTGCGAGTGTACCCGCGATTTGTGTACAAATAGTGTAGTTACCGATGGATATGATTCCTAATAACTAAAATTTCTCTAATAATAACCTATAAATCTCGTAGTCTCGTAAATTGAGTTTGGCTCCTTGCGAAGTGATAATTCGTATAGCCTGGCCAAACTGTGCTGTATGAACTGTGACGATTCAGCAATGCATTATGTATACCTCTCGTCAGGTCTTGGCCTATTTCAAACACGCGGAGGCCGGAGGGAGGGGGGAAGGAGCACGATCACATGGCGCTTGGCTCCTATGGCACTCAGAAACACCAAAGTTACAGGGGTTTTTACGCTATCTACAACAAGACTCGGGGTTGCATCAACCCCCTCCCCCTGGCCGGGCGAGGGATTGCTATTGACCCGACCTGACCTGACCCTTCACAGGCGAGTGTATGTCGTCCTGCCTGATCCGAGACGACTGTCTAAGCTTCAGTTTCGACACCGTCTCGGGCGACTGTAAGCTGCACGCTACCAGAGGAAGTGGCCCAAGGACCTCACACAACTCCAGCGTGATCTACCGCTTCCGCAGCGGCATCGGTGGGGTCTGCTGGGGTCTGGTGGGGTCTGTTGGGGCATCGGTGGGAGCTGATCTGGTCTGACTGGTCTGTGTTGGGCCGATCTAATTGGTCTGATTTGGCTGAGTCTAGGCTGGGTTACAATGGTCTGGTCTGGTCTGGTTAGGTCTCTGTGTGGGTCTGAATCTGCATGTGTGCGTGTGTATGTCATTCTGTCCGTCGGTCTGTCGGTCTCTTTCATCACTGTCGTTCTCTTAAAGCATTTATTTGAGGAAATGACTATATAGCTGTTGTACCTACAACCACGCCTACAACCACTCAAGCTTTCCAAAAAAGTGTTATCTCTTCGATGGATCAATATCGTAGCGCTTGACCTCAGCCCCATTGAATATGTAGGTATGTCAGTGTCTGGCAGCATGTTCATGTTGTGACGATGTCATATCAGTGTCTTATCAGGGCCACATCAGTCTCATAAAGTGTCAGGTTCAGCATCGTGTCACTTCCACGTCATTTGTCAATATCAGTGCCAGTGTCAGTGTCAGTGTCAGTGTCAGTATCATGTCGGTTTAATGTCAAGCGTCAGTGTCAGTAGCTAATCAGGTGCCAGTCTAATGCCAAACCTCAGTGTCAGTGTTATGCCAGTTTATGTCAGTGTCATGACATTTACCGACAGCTAACCTAGGAGACTGGTGCACGTCTGACTCCGAGTGTCAATTCACAAATGGGGTAGCCTCATGCAGTCGAGGCACGTGCGTTTGTCCGACTGGAAAACAGCCCATCAGCTGGACAGAGTGTGGTGAGTTAGAGAGGAGTGCAGGGAGGTAGGAGAGAGAGAGAGAGAGAGAGAGAGAGAGAGAGAGAGAGAGAGAGAGAGAGAGAGAGAGAGAGAGAGAGAGAGAGAGAGAGAGAGAGAGAGAGAGAGAGAGACAGAGAGACAGAGAGAGAGACAGAGAGAGAGACAGAGAGAGAGACAGAGAGACAGAGAGAGAGAGACAGAGAGACAGAGAGAGACAGAGAGGGAGAGAGAGAGAGAATGAGAGAGAGAGAGAGAGAGAGAGAGAGAGGGGGTGAGAGTTGCGATGGAAAGACCAGTGTTGGGGCTGAGAGCTGAAAGAAAATCATTGGATTCAATCATCTGTATTTGTATTTGATAGAATATACTTATCAATTAAACACACCCGTCTTTTGCCTCAGGTGACCCACCCACCACCACAACCGTTACCGTGGCGACAACCAGCGAAGCGACCATACCAACAACTACCGAGGCCACTTCTACCACGGTCGAGACGACCTCGACCACGGTCGAAACGACCTCGACCACGGTCGAAACAACCTCGACCACCGACCTGCCCACATCGTCTACCGCTGCTCCTTCCTCTACGTCAACTCTGCCTACGACTGTATCGTCTACCACCAGTACCGCCGCTGCGACTGAATCGTCTACCATCAGTAGCACCACTATCGGCAGCACGACCACCATTATCAGCACCACTACCACCGAAGACCGTGAGTATCTAACGTATGGAGGCATTTAACGGACAACATTCAACTTTTGTATGCAATGATAGAATCACCGTTAAACTATCGGCAGAATGCACACAGCACAGCAATAAGTTCTCTTGCAGTGACATGGATTGGATGGTTTCATACTAGCATTTTGGATGCTTTTGTAATTTGTGTAAGAGCGAGAATTGATGGGTAAAAACTTTGAAACGGTCTAAAAATGCAGCAGAAATGATGTTTGCGCGGAACGACAGCTTCGGCGAATAAGAAGGGCACGAAAATTTTTGATTGTATTTGTTTATATATTATCTATATAGCGATATGGAATTACTTCGCTGATGCGATCTGGCCACTGGCGGATCCAGCCGTTTTCAAGGGAAGGGGCCAGCCCAAAGCCGGCCCAAAGTTCAGGTTCTAATGTTATCATTGACAAGATTGTCCGCTTTTGATGTACTTGGACTAATTGGGATCAGAAATGAGGATTTATTGACTTAACTTAAATGCATGTCGTCTTTTTTGTGCATCGCGGTCCAGAGGAGATTTTAAAGGGGCGAATTCGATTTGGAAAGGGGAACAAATCATGTTTTGGCCACCCCTAGCTCTGACTTTGGCTCAGTTACCCCACCCCCACCCCAGTTACCCTCAGTTACCCCCCCCCCCCCCCACCCCCGTTGGATCCACAAGATCATCTGGCCCTTCATGGCATTGATGTAAAAATATAGGCCATCGACAGCTTCCATCATGACGTTACCGCTTTTTCCTTAAAGTTATGTATTTATATTAGAGATGTCAATGGGATACCAATTATTTGGTATACTGATACCAAACCGGGTGAGATGATGTTTTTCGTACGCCAGCGTAGATGGGTAGCCATACGGCTTCCACGGTTGACAGTGATGACATCAGTCATCTTTTGCAAGCTCTCACGCTCTCAGTCCCAGCGGATAAAAACAACACCTAAGAATGATACCAAACCGATACCAACTTGGTATTTGGTATTTCAAACCTAACAATTTTGGTATTTTGTTGGTATTGTGAGGACTTGGTAGCGTATTCAACATTAGAAATTCGGTACAAGTTGGTAGTTCTCCTGAATTCGCGAGTTGGTTCGGTTTTGGTATTTTTTTAAGGGTTCAGTTGGTATTTGGTTTGGCATCGGTTTCTAAATTACCTGTGATTGACATCACTGATTTATATCTCACTCTGCGCGACAGCGGGGCCCGGGCTCACTTCATAGGCACCATTTCAGTGAAAATATTAAATATTCTCTCTCACAGCGTGCAGCGGAGCCACCCAGATCGAAGGCGTTGAGGGAACTATTCTATCCCCCAACTACCCCGACGATTACGGAAACGATGTGGACATCATCTGGATGATTATGGCGGAGCCGGGACAGACCATCCGAATCAACATAAACGATTTCTCGCTGGAGGAAGACGATCAGAACTGCACCCGATACGATTTTCTCGAGTTCAGGTGAGCACATTAAACTATTAACCCTATTCCTGGCGGGGGGGCCTCAGGAGCCCCCCCCCCCTGAGGTTTTTTGGTTATTTCTCCCAAACGCGTTGAGCTAGGAAGCTCAAATTTTCTGACTTTTCCTAAAAGGCTTCTACGCAACATGTCTGAAAATTTTGAGTTGATCTGACCTCAGGTCAGGTCACCAGAGGCGGTTTGGTGACCCTTCCTCAGAAAAGTTTGCAATCACGCCAGAGCTAGAGTTTTTGACCGATCAATTTCTTCTCTTCAGGGTTTAGTTAGGGTACCAGTATGTGCAATTTGTATATCTCGGAATTTTGATATCGGTGACCTAAGGTCAGGTCAATTTCGCGACCTCCCCATTATAAGTCAATGGGGGAAAATCAACTCCCTGTTTTTACCACTAAAACGGGTCGGAATGGCCCCATATACCATACATGACTTCATATACGATCAACCTTCACTACCTTGAGGTCTGTTTTGCTGTTGGGCAGCTGTGAGGTCATGTGACGTCATCAAAGGTCACCAAAGGTTTTTGGCCAATAACTCCGTACAGGAACAAGATACAGACGCGTGGATGGTCTCATTGTGTTCAGCTCGTCAAGACGCATCGAATGATATACATGATGACCTCGAGGTCACGTGACCTGAGGTCAACCTTTGACCTTGACCTTTCGAGGTCAACATATATATCATTCGATGCGGATTGACGAGAGGATCACGACGATGCCCTTAGTTTGTTCCTATCTTGACTAATTCGAAAGTTATTCGAGAAAAACTCTCTCCATATCTAGCGCCGCCATTTTGACTTTTTCGACCCCTGTGACGTCATCTTTGACCTGACCTGAAAATGACCTTAGTAAAAATTGTAGATCTTGACCGTGCGTATCCGATGCCGTTTACCGCTTGTCGCTATCTTGCTTCGTTCTCGAGATCTCAGGGGGGGGGGCCGAATCGGCCCCCCCCGCCAGTTTCTTGTCCCGGCGGAGCCCGCCAGGAATAGGGTTAAGGGATCAACTTTTTTACTAGAGTATCCGACTTTACATTCTTCATTCAACAATGCCAAAGTGCCTTAGTGCAATGGAACCAGCATCGTGTATTTTAGCGCAATCAAAGAAGGACATAAGCAGTGGTAATAGGAGCTTTTATGTGTGTTTTTTTTTAGAGTAGGAAAATACAGCGCTTCATAAGATTGGAGCCTGGTTCTGATAGAGGGGGAGGAGACAAGCCTGCCATATTTTTACAGGTTCCGGGAACCGCAGAGGTGTTCCACTTTTCGCTTGATGGTTTAGGATGCCGCCCCGCTGCATTCCACCGCAGTGGAAGGTGACGCCTCGGCGCATCACATAACCCCATCATATGTACTCACTCTTGGTGCATGATTTGACCTCATCCCCCTACTATGGTCTGGCAAACCTAAGAAAGAACGGAGTTAAAGCGCCTGAATCACTTTGCACGTGTTTTGATCACTTGAAATGTATGGCTCGGAGAAATTTGTGTGAAAAGTTGTGAGAGAAAATACGCTCTCACAATATAAATGCACATGCATCAGTGACCGCAGCACTTTAAATCCATTCTTTCTTAGGTTTGCCAGACTATACAGCCCGTTACGTTTCTATAACAACCCGTTACTTTTCCACAACCCAATTCGATCCGCTGTGTCTTTCGTCAGAGACGGCGATTCTGTCGACGCACCGTCCCTCGGCGGAAAGTTTTGCGGCTCCAACTACCCGAAGCGGGTGGGGCCGAGCACCAGCAACGTAATGACCGTGGTGTTTCACACGGACATTGGTAGAGTGGCTCGCGGCTTCAACCTCACGTGGAAGCTATGTGGAGCCGGTGAGGGCTATACGCGAGACAACTCATGAGGAATGTCACGTGCATGAGATGCATAATTTGGGAGAATTGCCATTCGGTTGCATGGTCGTTTTATGATCAACTCACAGGGGAGCAATGCCGCTTGAACCCTATTGGCCGTAGTGTCTAACGGTGGCGGCCATATTGCGCAGACCAAGAAACGGCTGCCGCCTGTGTTGAGGAATAGGGAATTCGGGACCTCGATTTACATTTGCGGCCGCCGCATCCGTTACGTTCAAGTTACGTAGATACGGAACCCGGCATCTTACGCAGAATTGAGTGGGGAACACGATCGTATCTTCAGAATTCCTCAACTTCACTCGCCGGACCTACATTTGCCCCGGCCGAGGGGGTTGATTGAACTCACCTCGCTAATGCGCCGCTAATTTAACTAGAATTAAGCGGTAAATTGGTCGTTTGCGACAAAGGATAATGCAGAGTGACTGGTAGGAACCCACTGTAAAGGTCCCGGGTCAACCGGTGACCTCTGAGGTCAGGTCAAGTGATCTAAGGCACGGGTTCGGTTTTTGGTAAATAACTTCGCCAAAAATGGCCGTAGAGTCGCGATTTTGGCATCATCGTGTTCAGCTAGCTCAGGCGCATCGAGTGATATACTTTTTGTTCGGGTCAGGTCAACTTAGGGTGTTGACCTCAGGTCAAGGTCAGGTCAGCACCGCCAGGTCACGAAGATGGTCGAAAGAGGTCATGTCGCATATCATTCGATTCGGCAGGTCTTCCTGAGTCCGTTGGTGGCTTTCCCGACTCGCTAGCTCAATTTTATCGGGAGTTATTGAAGAAAAACTGTGACCCTTGTGACGTCACAAATGACGTCACGCAAGGGCAACAATGCAAATATGAAGCATAGAACCTTGCAAGGAGTGCATGAAATCATGATTTTATATGCTTGAGATAGTTTCAGATCATTCTCGGCGCCAAAATAGCAATTTTCATATTTCCCCATTGACTTATAATGGCTTAACGTATTAGTTCCTTGTATCTGAGAAGTTTTTAGGATTTCATCTTATTCTCCACTCAATTCTGCGTAAGATGCCGGGTTCCGTGGCCACATAGCTTGAACGTAACGGATGCAGCGACCGCAAACGTAAATCGAGGTCCCGAATTCCCTATTCCCCAACACAGGCGGCGGCCGCTTTCTGGTCTGCGCAACATGGCGGCACCGTTGGACACCATCTGGCGGCCGATGCGCATTCCACATTATAGAGTTCAGTGGATCAACTTAAAGCGACTTTTAGCAAATCGTGAGGAAAAGAATGAATAAAACCTGCTATTCAACTTCTTTGGCATTTCTATAGGTTGAGCTGTGATAAAAGCTATGTCGTTCAGCGACTGCAAATAAAATGTTCAGATTCTTTATAAGCTCAGACGGTTATAATCTAAGAAAATCCATTATACTAGACCGCTAACGGTCCCACCATTTCATTCATTCATATTTCAATGCCCATAAAGTGCCCCTTTCTTCCACCACCAGGTGACCAGCTAGGTTCGTGCGACGCTTCAACCAACTTCAGCGGCACGCTGCAGTCGGTCAACTACCCAGCCGAGTACCCCAGCGGCCGGGACACCTTCTGGCACTTCGTGGCCACCCACCCGACACGCAGGTTCAGCATCACCTTCACAGACTTCGAGCTCGAGAGTAGCTACGGCACGTGTAGCTACGACACTCTGAAAATCTCGTGAGTAGTGAATGGGGAGGGGCTGTGCCCTGCCATTTTCTATTCGCTTTAAGTAATCAGACTGGTAGAATTGAGCTAAACGTCTCGCTCTTCGATGCCAAGATTGAATAATGTGAGTAAACTTCCTAAAAAAACGAAAATCTGAGGAGTAAGGAATGTAGATAACGTTACTCAGCATAGACTGCGATTTAAGTTCGATGATGGTGTGAACTAGATAAATAAATACCCCATTTCACGCTCTGTGACTTCCAACTCAAAACCCATTAAAACCAAATGCTTTTTCGCTGACCCGAATGCCATTTTCCGCTGACCTGTCATTTTCCACTGACATGACTGTCATTTTTCGCTGAATTGACCCGCCATTTCCCGCTGGGTTGACTGCTATTTCTCGCTAAACTAGCCACCCCTCCCGCTGAACTATTCACCCCTCTCGCTAAACTAACCGTCCCTTCTCTCTTCAGGGATCCGAGCGGGATCGAGGAGGGCCCTTTCTGCGGAGACACGATGCCAGCTCCCTTTGGGCCCACAGCCGGCTCACAGCTGACAGTCAACCTTTATACGGATAGCTCGTCTCAGTTCCGTGGCTTCTCGGCCGATTGGACCGGCACGTGCAACACAGGCACCTCCAGCTCCTCCACAGAGGAGATGTAGACGATGATGTACCGAGAGGTGGAGAGAAAGACGAAAGAAATATGTAGTAGTAGGAGAGCGGAGAAGAGAAGCAATGGAAGATAAGAGATGACGACGAAAGGAAAAGAATGCAAGTGAGGTGAAAGGAGAAGACGTGAGAACGAGACAAGGTGAATGTGAGTGAGTGAGCGAGTTGAGTGAATGGATGAGAGGAAGAGAGAGAGAGAGAGAGAGAGAGAGAGAGAGAGAGAGAGAGAGAGAGAGAGAGAGAGAGAGAGAGAGAGAGAGAGAGAGAGAGAGGAGGCGAGAGTGAGACTGAGTAGGTGGGTGAGTGAGTGAGTGAGTGAGTGAGTGAGTGGGTGAGTGAGTGAGTGAGTGAGAGGTGGGTGAGTTAGTGAGTGAGTTAGTGAGTAAGTGAGTGAGTGAGTGAGTGAGTGAGAGAGAGAGAGAGAGAGAGAGAGAGAGAGAGAGAGAGAGAGAGAGAGAGAGAGAGAGAGAGAGAGGAGAGACGGAGAGAGAAAAGACAGGGGAGAGTGGAGCACCATCGGAGATAAGGTGCAGAGGAGGCTAGTATAATCAGAACACCAAGAGCTGGCGTAATGAGACCCCGGTGGGTGTCATCGATAAGTGAACAGAGCGCAAAAGACTACAAGCAATAAGTCGACGCAAGAAATTAATAGTTTAGCAATTTTCAATGTTGACGTATCCTCCCGAGCGTCCGTGATATTCGCAGCTTGATGTGACTGTATCCTGATCATGCTCCCGAAACCTAGTGATTAAGTACCTAACAACTATTTTAGGATATGACCTAAACGGGTTAATTTTAGCTGGCCGATTTCGTCTCCCTGTTCACGGTTTTACTGAATTTATTTTCCCTAACGCATTGCTTAGGCAGAGATCGCAAATTAATTAAAATCGTAAGGAAAGCTAGTCGTTGCTAAGCGACTGACAATTTGACGCGAACCCAGTTCCCTTATGCCTGAAACAGACTCTTTCCGCAGTCAGGAACTTGCATGCGAGAGCCTATTCAAATACATGGAAGCACGCTCGCATCAATCGCATGCACCTCCCGCAAGCGATTGATGCGAGAAGAATTACAATGTATTTGAATAGGCTCTCGCATGCGATTTCCTGAACGCGGAAAGAGTCTGTTTCAGCCTTTAAAGTCACATTCAGTTTTCATGTGCGTACTTTTAGTGTCGGAAATGATGATTGATTGAGTGTTGCGCAAGCTAGAGGCGATGAATGTCACTTTTAGCATGGCCTACTCGCAGATCATCAGTTGTTTCCAAGCCCCAATGAATTTGGTTGGCTTGGGCTAAGCAGTAAGGGCTATTAAGGTTTCCAGATGCTGTTGATTCTATGAATTTATAGATAATAACAGGAGGGTGATTCATATAATGCTTGGAATTCAAACATTGTTTGAACTTTGAAATACACAGTATGCACGAAATAATTTTTTATCCTGATGGGGACAACAGAGAAGGCCATCTAAAAACCTACCCTTATAAATTTCGGATGCACATTTAACGTCTCCTGTCGCATTTCTTTTTAGCTAGTGACACTTCCTGGAAAGGGCTACTCGACAGCTGAGTTCAAAAAGCCACCCTTACACACCTCATTAACGTTAGCGAAAGAGTCTCCTCGAGTAACTGCTTACTTTGGCACACTCTAGCCAACGGGCTTTGTTTAACCGAAGGGTTGTATGAACTAGGTCCAGTTCATATAGAAAAGCCAGTCGGCAAGTTTCACTTTGTCAAAGTGCCACTTATCAAAGGGACACTATTGGGAACATTGGTGTAGGTGTGTAAGGGTAGCTATATGAACCCATCTGTGGGTCGCCCTTTCCAATAAGTGTCACTTATCAGCAAATGGGCTCTAGATGAACTGGGCCCTGAGCCCAGAAGTGCACGGAGTCATTTTGGACGGTGTATAGCGCCATCTACTCGATCAAACACGGCCGGCGTTACCTACGCGTAAGAGGGCGCTATTAGCCCAAAACTGATCTCACAAGCTCCTCTGACCGCTACGGTTAGTGTCGAAAATAAAGTTTTTGATGTCATTTTCCTCCAAATGATAGGTGCAATCCGATATATAGGTTATGTGGTCGAGCATTCCCAAAATTAATAGAGTAAAATTGTGGTCCCTTTTCTACACCCTGTCAAGTGTGAGGAAACTGCATGAGCGAATCACGGTGCCAGTTGGTGGAGTAGGTATTTGCCATCCCTTGAGTCATCTCTTATCATAGCCTGTAATAATGTGTCATCCACGCACATTTCAAGTCACTAGAACGGTATATTTCCTGCCTGACTTGTCCACGGAGGTGGCAGATTGTCACTGTTCTTTATATGACGCATAAATATTTTGAGACATGACGTCACACGCACCCGGACGACATACGATATCGAGGCAGAGTCGTTCGGTCACCGAGCTATGTGACCACAAGTAGACCTGAAAGTCGAGCACCAATAGGTTTCTATCGTGGGGAGCCACAAGCTTGTTGTTTCCCTTAAACCTCGCGATAAATGAAGAACGAACCACGACTATGGAGGTCGCGTCCGATCTTATTATGTGCCGGCGAAGGATGCAGAATGACAAGATTCGGCGAGTGAAAACACGTTAGTAAAAAGGGGGTTACAATACTAATCCGTTACTTTACCAAATCGCCTGGGGGCTGGGCGACGATCGAAAAGTACCTCGCCTACACAGCCCGGCTTTTATACCATTTCCGCTGCTCACATACGTTTGATTTTCCACAAAGCATTTATTTACAGCAAAACGTCAATTTTTCGTTCAAGTTCGCAATAATGTGATGATTTAACTCAGTTTGCTAAAAGGTATATGCACAAGTATCTTATTAGACAGGAGAAAGTACACACACACACACAAGCTCACCTTACCCTGATGCTTACGTTGGTCCCAAACACATCAAATCCATTTAGTTTTGCAAGACGTAAGCACTAAGCATTACAGCAATTCAATTTGTTTGTTTCATCTAGCATCCCAACTACGCGGTAGACATCGTGGCACAAGGCGAGCCTGATCGACCTCATCACCTGAGTCTCTAGGTCAATCCGATTCGGGCACCACTGCACCGCAGCTGTCCAGCCGCGCATCTCCAGAACGACGAGCATGCGTGCCCAAGCCGTCAGACTCCTGGCTCACCCTCGCCGCGACCATCGTCGCACATCTTCATTCACATTTCGCACCTTCATCGTCAGGATTCGTTTCGCCCCCTGACTTCCTGACTTCCTTCGTTTCGTCTGCTGACTTTTTGAGTTCCTTGCCTTCCTGGGAAAAGTCCGCAGCGTTGGGACGTCAGTACGCCGAGGCCCGAGGATTGACCATCCTTTAGTGCATGGAGCCGGCACTGGGGGTGTACTGACGACTCCCGTCTCCACTATTGAGTTTCTGCAGCAAGGGCGACAGTTTCTCCTTGGTGGACTGCAGCCAGTACGTCAGCTCATCGAGCTCGGCCAGCCTGTTTTTCTCCAGCCACTCCAAAACCTCGTTGCAAGTGCTACGTGCCGTCTTCTTGTCTTCCTCTGAGGCGTCATCCCCTGCTTGGTCCACCGTACGGAGGCCCATGATCACATAGCCTTCCAGCTCATTCCGGACGTTGACACGTTTCCGCAAGGCGTCATCCTCTTCACGGAATTGTTCCGCTTCTCTCATCATTCTGTCGACTTCCGCTGCGCTGAGCCGTCCGTTACTCTCGGCGATTGTGATGTGCATCACATTGTCACTCTTCTTGGTGTCGACGGCGCTAACGCGGAGGATGCCATCAGCATTCACATCGAACGTCACCTTGATACCAGGTTCGCCACGTGGTCTCTCCACGAGTCCACTGATCAAGAACTCACCGATGACGTTGTTATCAGAGGTCATCACTCGTTCGCCTTCTAGTACCTTGACTTGGGCTGATGTCTGCTTGTCACTGCCAAGTGAAAACTGTTCGCTGCGGCACGCGGGAATTTCAGTGTTGCGCTCTAGCATTTTCATCATGGAAAATCCATTGACTTCTATGCCAAGGGACAGGGGAATGACGTCTTGGAGGGTTACGCTGCCAATCAAATCCAACTTGTTCGAGTCGTTTCCAAGAATAGCCCCCTGAAGTGCGGCGCCACACGCCACAGCCTCGTCCGGGTTGATGTCCTTGCTCACCCGTTTTCCGTCAAAGAAGTCCTCCAGCAGCTGCTGCACTTTCGGTATGCGTGTTGAACCACCAACCATGACTACGTCATCGATGGAGGATTTCTTCAGCTTCGCGTCACTCAGCGCTTGTTCCACAGAGTCTAACGTTCGGCGAAATAGTTCACCGCACATTTTCTCGAAGCGGGATCTGGAGATTGAACAGTTGAAGTGGATGCCTCGGTAAAGTGAGTCGATGTCGACGCGTGCTTGCGAGGAGCAGGACAGGGTTCGCTTTGCCTGTTCAGAGGCAGCCTTCAACTTCCGCATCGCTCGACGACTTTCCGTGAGGTCTTTCTTGTGCTGCTTCTTGAACTCATCTGCAAAGTACTTCACCAGCGTGTTGTCGAAGTCCTGGCCACCGAGGTGAGTTTCACCGGCAGTGGACAGAACTTGAAACCTGGATCCGCTGGAGATCTTTAAAATGGACACGTCGAACGTCCCTCCTCCAAGGTCGAACACCAAAATTGTTTTCTCGCCGTTAAGGTTTTTGTCGAGGCCGTAGGCAAGCGCAGCTGCCGTCGGCTCGTTGATGATGCGCCTGATGTTCAGTCCGGCGATCTTACCGGCATCCATGGTGGCCGATCGCTGGCGGTTGTTGAAGTAGGCCGGGACAGTGACCACGGCGTCGGTGATCGGTTCACCGAGGTAAGCCTCGGCCGTCTCCTTCATTTTCCCGAGTATCATCGAGCTAATCTCCTCGGGCGAGAATTGACGTCGCTCACCCTTGTACTCCACCTTGATGGCAGGGTTCCCGCGATCGTTGACGACAGCGAACGGCCAGTTCTTCATCTCCTCCTGCACCGTTGGGTCCGAAAACGGGCGACCCATCATTCGTTTCACGTCAAACACAGTGTTTTCGGGGTTTCGCACCGCCTGACTGACAGCAACCTCTCCGATGATTCTCTCGGTGTCCGTGAACGCCACACAGCTCGGTGTGGTCAGAGCTCCTTCGTCGTTGGCGATTATCTCCACCTTGCCGTGCTGAAACACCGCCACACACGAGTAAGTGGTGCCCAGGTCGATGCCGATTGTGGGCGATGCCATTTTCGTCACGTTTGGTCGAAAACGCAATCAGTTCGCAGCTCAGAAACTTGGTTCGTGCGGTAGGTTGTGAAGTCCTCAAGTGCGATTTTAGTCACCGTAAAAACGCTCTCCTTTTAGACCAGCATCCCGCGCCTGCTTATTCACGGATCATGCTCCTCTTCCAAGGTCTCACCGAACATTGGCAGTGCTCAGCGTTCCAAATGTCACAGACTTTTCAATACCAGCTCTCTCTCAGTTCTTGCGGCACCGCAATGTCTTCTCGATGCCCGGCGTCGCTCTGCGTACCACTCTCACCAGCAGCCAGGGTAGTTCTGGAGCAATGCTGAATCAGTTTTCTGCACTACCCGTTCGCACAAAGACCGCAGTGGCTATATGATTCACGCTTGCTGGACGCTGTTATCACCCAGCAGCTTCCTGACCCGATAAGAGCCTTGCAGCTGTCGCTGTCTTGTCCCGGACGTTGCGGACTGTACGCTCACTCCAGTCCGACTGACGACAAGCCGACCCCAGCCCGATTGGCGCATTTCCTGCTGTCCGATTGTGCAGCTGAAGTCTGAGGGGATGGCCAGAGAGACTCATGAAGCATGTGACTTCTTTGCAAACTGAACAAGAATACTTGCGTTGAAATATAACAATAGTTGGCAATACCAACAAAAGACGCCTGCCGGGGAAGGCAAAATTTCAAGTTTGTGAAGTTGAAGTGTGAATTACTAAAAAACTAATTGTCTGGAAGGGATGGGTAAATATTGAAGTTTTCTTTGAAGACCAATGTTGCGCACAATATGCTTTTTCATGAAGCCATGTTCATTATTTGGCACCATAATTTTCCTACTTCCACTCCGCTGAAACAAGGCCTATAGGCAAAAGGGTGGCGTGATATTACATTTTATCTTCTGCATTGGCTAGGGCATGAAGCGGACTACTGTAGAGCACAGCGAAATATTGGTCTTGTTTCATCGTCACTGCGATGTAAATTTCTATAGCAGTGAAGCTGAGTGGCCATAAAACACGCTTATGAACATCATGACAACCGAGTCAAATTGATGTGTTTATGTCACCATGACATCACGCGCAATATCATGAGCGACATATCACCCGTGAAAAGCTGCTGATGCAATAATGCTCAAGTACTCAGGAACAAATGGATATTTTCGGATCGTTCATTATGTGGCCATAGAAGTCCTCTATATTGATTGCCTGAAATCACTTATGGGCAAAGGTTGATGAACCCAATGGCAAACAATTGAGCCAGTTTTTCTTTCTTCCATTCTACTGTAAGTAACCAACACCTCTACGTCCATACCTTGCTTCTTAACCACTACCACCGCTGTTCCTATACCACTGCCTCCTCCAATAACGGCTAAAATAACTAACGTCTTGAACTACCATACTCGACGGCCGTTACCATAGACTATAGAGAAGTCTATGCAGATACCACACTCGACCATGCCTCAACCACACCCTAGCCATTCAATAAGCTTCGAGCACATTCCCTGATTCTCGGAAGGGCTGAGCTCTGAGCTGGAAGCCGTATAGCGGTGACCGGTAGGACGTATTATCGATGAGGATTCGTGCGTCCCGCATATTTAGCGGAGACATGGCAGCCAGAGCGTTCTATAAAACGACACATACGAGTAGTGGTTAGCATGCAGTGGTTCTTAGCGGAGCTTGAAGTGACCAATGAATAGTGTGTATCGTTTGGTTTAAATCAAGTTCGATATTCACAGGTGCTCTAAGATGAGTGAAACAAGAGGGAGGGGATCAAATGTAACAACGAGGGAGAGATAGATTGCTGCGATATGGAAGGAAGACAGAAATGCAGAGTACACAGGCAGGCAGCAGATAAAGGAAAGATAGCAATAGCGCTGAACAGGGATCCACAACGGTCAGTAGCATCTAGCAATTGTCTTGCAGGCTGGCTAAAAGAGCTAAACTACCTGGACTACGTAACACAAACAGTGACGGGCTTTCGAGCAAAGTTAGGTACCGTCCTGTGCAGGAATTCTTCAATCGCTGGGAAACCGAACTTATGAAGGCGCTGCAAGTTTGGTTAATCATTTTAAAGGAAGATAAGTGGGATGAAATTGTAACTGACTGAACTAGTTTGAAGCTTCGTCCCTGATGCTGCGAAAATAACTCCTACAGATACTATAGCCGTTTACACGATGGGATGGGATGCCTGGCGAATGCACCTAATTTGACCAAATCTGCACGAAATATCTGTTACAGTAAGTATGTTCACATCATACATTTATTCCAGTGTTTTTATCGATACGGATATTACTGTCTGATAGAATGACAAAGAAGGCATAAAAGCAATCAGTGCAACCCTAGCGCATAGCTACTAAGAAACACACTGAACCTAACTTGACAAAATTTGCACCAAATCTGCACCTACCAGATGGCCGTCGTGAAATGGTCTCATTTCAAGTGGGTTTGCCTTTGCCACAGAGATATATAAACCTCAGGTATTGTAGTCTGCAAACATCATTGCTTAGGTGGCTAGTTCAAGAACAATGTAGAAAAAATGTTTACAATCTTTACCACCAGACATCTTGGCGATGACTTCAGATAAATAACTCGCAGTCAAGGTCAGTAATCTACGTTTACACTAAGTGCGGGTACAGCCTCAATATCCTAACGACGTTGGGCTTCTTTGCCATTTCGTGATTGCTGACATCAGTCAATACATCTATCAGGTTTTGTGTATTGCTATCCCCTGGTTGTTTGTTCCGAGTCAACATACACTGTTGCCAATATTAGAAACGGTAACAAACTATACCAACTCCCTCTAAGCGTAGGTAAAAATACACACGTTGTTACGAACTTCGAAACACACGCCAATTTGCTACCAAGTCGTCTGCATAAATCGGGCAAACAAACCGGCAGAAAACTGACTATACGAGTAGATTCCACGCGAAATGTCAGAAATAGCGAAGGTGTACATTTCAGGGATGCCGCTACATTTAGGTCGTCCTTTTTTCCATAAAAGTCCCTCTTCAGCGATACTTGACTCCGTCATATCACGCCCAAGAGCCCTCGCCTGTTCCATATTCAGCCTCACCCCTCTCCGCCCCACCCCCCAGCCCCCAAGGCCGGCCCACTGACCCACTCGGCTTTTGTTCACGCCAGTCAGGAATCGACGACGCGTACCTACGTACCAACCGCGCAGCCTCCCAGGGCTGCGAGAAGTCCAGTTAACGATCCAGCCAGCTCGGGCACCTGCGCCGCGCAGCATCCTACCCCCCCCCTTCCCTGCTGCGTTTCTGTGCGTGAACGCTGCGCCGTCGGCGGGGGGGGGGTCGGGGGGGGGGGTCGCTCCGAGTCTGGCTGCTGCCATCCTACGGTATCCAGCATCCCAGAGCCGCGTATTGATCGTGGGCTCCGAGCGGTGCGCAGCACGGGCCGGCGGAGAGCCGGGAGTCGCTGAGGCCAGAACAGAGCGGCGTCTCCTCCGTCCAGGAGAGATACCGTCTGTCGAGCGCTGGTCGTGGGAAATTCCGTGACGAAGTCCGTGAGGTCCGTGAGGAGGTCGTGAAAGAAAAGAGTGACTGAGATCGGAGGAACCTGATCCTAATCGGAGGCGCTGTCCCTGTGAGTGCAGTTGTGTGCACAGTGTGCCAAGAAGAGTTCGTGTGACGGTAGCGTTGAGTCCATCATCACACCAGCAACCATCTCCGTCAGAAGAACCATCTCGGCTGAAATCTAGTTTTGGTGCGTCCGGACGGTCACCGTCTCAGGGTACCGCCCCGAGCAACAGCTTCGGGCACGCCCACCGGCTCCCCCGAGGTCAATATTTACAGTGCCCAGAGCGGCGGGATGGGAGGGAGCGTGCTGTAAACAGCCTCTGTGCCGTGCGGAGCTCGTAGTCTCCGGTCAGGTGACAGGTAGAGAGAAGGAAGGGGAAAGGAAATAACAGTGATTAGGTAGCAAGTAAAGTGACAGCTGCGGTAAGAGAGTGATAGAATATCGTGAGCGAAGGAGGGCAGCAACAGTGGAAAAAAGGCGCGGTAGACGAAAGTGAACAGGCAGAAAAGGAAGGAAGTGGGAGAAGGGAGCGGCTGGTGTGACCTCCGAGATGAAGTTACAGGAATCGTGATCGGTTCCTGAAGTTGGTGATCGGAGACTGGAGGACACCAACACCGCACAGTGCACAGTGCACAGGTGAGTGGAAAAAGTGGTCTGGGGTTTTGTGTATGGTTATAACTTTTGACAGCCTGTCTAATAGACTTGCAAGTACATATTTTGCCTAATGCTTTATTTATTCCTAGGTTATTTTTACAAGCAAGTTATATCAACAACCTAAGCACAACAAATTACTGAATTGGCTGTTGCATGCAACGATCTCGCCTAAAAACGGATGGGTAATATATACGAGACTGTAGCTCTGAATGCTCTTTCTGGATGTCATAGAACTGTGAGTGTGGAGGCCGAGCCAAAAGCATTATAGGGCTTGAAGTCATTTATTTATGATAATATAAGCATCATAAATGACTTTAAAGTTAAAGTAGTAATTCTCTCGTATATTTACCAAATAAAGACTGGCGCAACTACTCCCAGACCACAAAACTTCCCAATAAGGAACAGAAATAGTTTCGAAGCGGGTAGAACTTGGCACAGCAGCCGCCTAAACGATTCAGAACTCTCATAGCCTAGCCATCGAGCCCTCGTTCGACGTCAGTGAGGCTTGTTGTCATTAAAGCCTGAGTTTGATGGGAATCCAAAGTCGTGAACTTAAAACATCTCCAAGCCAGCCAGTCGTGAATGCAAAAGTTAGTGCCCCTTCGCTGGATACTAAATCGAGCGCTAACCATGTAGGTACCTATTATGGTTGGTACTTGGTACTACTATTCTTGAAAAAAATCAAAATTTAAAGTCATTTCAACTGTAAATTCATAACCATATTCAATGAAGACCTTAAACAGATCTAAATTGTAGAAGTACCAAACCAATGCACATTCAAGCAATGGCGGATCCAGCTCCGAGCTTTGGGCCGCAAAACAGGAGAATTTAGTGGTTCTTTGTATTGTATTGTATTGTACTGACATCGCGTCTCATCCACTAGTGTGGCTTTCATGAGAACAAGTACAGATATAAAATGTTAACATGGATGAGTGGGAACAAAATCACATCACAATAACTATGCACTCCATTGACACACATGATGTTCAAACATTCGGTCGATCTATCATCCCTGTGATTGTACCAAGTGTTCTTTCAGCCGTCTTTTGGAGCCCCCACGAACAGACTGGGGCAGCGCATTGTACGCGGAGACAGTCCTGTACATAAACTGCCGCCGGCCAGTTTCTGTTCTGATCACCGGCGGTCGCAACTGTTGCTGATAACTGGCACGTGTGCTCCTGTCGTGGACCTGACTGGTGGTCGTGATCGACTGGGCGATTGTGGCTGGCTCGCCGATGACCAGTGCTTGACGCAGCAAGCAGATACAGCGGTACATACATAGGTTGTGAGCGGAAAGCCAGCCTAACTGTGAGAGCACGTCACTGATGTAATCGTGTTTTCTGCGTCCAGATAAAACTCGGGCACAGAAATTCATAACCTTCTGAATGCGATGCATGGCCTGCTTTGGAGCGCTGCCATAGACGGGAATACAGTATCGAATGATGGAGAGCACTAATCCGTTGATGACAGTGGGCATGACATCGCCCGGCAGTCTATGCTTGGCGTGACGCAGACCAATCAGCAGACCATTACTTTCAGATTTTCCTTCCAGCAGACTTTCCATGCACCGCACATAGGCGTTATGTTAAACTATGCAGTTTGGGATGGGCTATTGGCCTAATTGCCCTTCCCTAGATCCGCCACTGCATTCAAGTAGGTATTTTGTCACAAAGTAATTGTTATCATCAACATACGCAGGTCCATTCCCAGGGTACAAATTACCCTTTGAGTCTCTGCCAACATTTAAAATCTGAGACGCGTCCGTTGTCGGCAGTGGGTCATAACAGCTCTGGAGGTAGATAGCCCCGCTCATAAACACCACGGAACGAAGGTTTACAGGCAGCTTTCAACACTCCTGAAACTGGCTGAGCTCCAACGTCCCCAGGCGAACCAGTTTTACGTCCACTCCTTGCGACTGTTTAGCATCGAGTTTCAGGATGATGCTGATTGTTCGAGAAATTTTATTTCGTTCACCAAACGCCAGTTTCACACAATAAGTGCCGTCCAGAGTCCAGACACCGTTGCTATGCTATAAACCGTTGCCATATATTATGCTGTCGCTAGCTATAAACACATCATCAAACCATTTTTATAATCAACGGTACTGTTGTGTCACTTATCCACACACAGTTTCCTATATATTAACCCTCGCATGTGTAGGGGGGGGGGGGGTCGGATGGACCCCCCCCCATGGTTTTTCGCGAATAACTCGCGTAAAAAGCGGCCGATCGCGACGAAACTTTCAGTACCCTCGCATTGATCAATTTTACACCTACCCTGAAAATTTCATGACCCTGACCCAAATGACCTTTGACCTGTGACCTCTTTTCCGAGACCATGTTTGGCCGGAATCGCGATTTCGCGTATGTCGGCTCGCACTAGCCGCGTGTTTGCAAGCTTTTCGTGGTTTCAAACGTTCAAACATGTGATTTGATGTTACTCCCGTGTGTGTCAAGGTCACCTGAAGGTCAGGTCAGGTCATTGACCTTTGGTGACCTCGGGTGACCTCGGGTCACTTTTTCGAGTTCTACATGTTTCTAGGCTAGTTTTTTTAGCTGAATTCGAATTTAGCAACCATTTGAACATTTACGAAGTAGTTTTGGTGACTTCGTAACATGTTACGAAGCTGTCAGAGGCGGTTGACACGTACTACGATTACCCGTCACGACGCCTACTGGTTGACCTGACCTGACCTGACCCGACCTGGTCTAAATGCTTCAAGACATCATATGTGATCAAAACTAACACGATATTCGTGATCAGCACCCCGAAAAACCCCTTAGCAGCCACACTTTACGACTTTCTAACAGGTCCCGATTTTCCCGACTTTGGGTCACTGACCTGACCTGGAAGGTCAACCAATGACCTAGGACCTTAAAATTGGGTATCATCGGCTTCCTCTCGTCACGGGCAACACGCTCGTTTTTTCCGCGAAGCTCTAGCTCGATCAGGGGCCAAACGGCAAGGGGGGGTCCAACCGACCCCCCCCCCCCCCCTACACATTAGAAGCTGGCAAACGCCGCACACATGCGAGGGTTAAGACTTAATCTGAATTCAGGTGGTCCTACTCACAACAGCTGTCCGAATATTTTGAAAGTCGAGTTTTGGTCGAAGTTGACCTCGAAACAGCTGGTGCAGAGCCGCTCGGCCATATCAGGGGTCAAGGTCAGCCGTCGCGATTCATTACCAAACCATTGTGGCCATTTGAGCAGCATTATTGAAAGGTATCGTAACATATTATGCATAAGATCAGTCATTGTTTATGTCCCTTGATGAAAAATAGCACATCGCCATTGATGCAGACTGGCAGAGTTGATGCATGGGCTAAAAAAACTCAAAACTAAAACGGAAGTTGGTACGGCAGCGTGTTTGAAAGCCAATGGGGTAGCAAATAAAGAAAAATATTATTATAGCTGCTTCCACTTTCGGCACTTACGCAAACGGCCATGAAAATTTTATGCCCGACGTCTCCTCGACGGCATTATGCTTTTTGTCGAACGGTAATGGGTTAGGTTTGAAAAAGCATAACTTGAAAAACTAATCAAATCCCGAACTACAGGCGGGCGGGAACTCTTTGCCGTGCACCTTGGTGACGCCACGGAAAAAAAACACGAATCCACGTGAACTGCCAACGACTAAGGCTAACGGGCTTTCAGCACGAGTCGATAGCACCTTAACCTCTCCATCGTTAAGTGATAGCACTCGCCAGTCATTAATTTCCCGTCAATAGTGGGCCGGATGGAGTGCCGCAAAGTCGGGACATTGATACCCGAGGCACGGCGGCCTTTAGCAAAGATGGTTTTAGCTCATGGACGTGTAAAGCATTTGATAAAGTTGTGGAAAACCAAGGAAATATGAAGTTGTGTTCCTTTGCTTTTCATCAGCGAAACCGCGTAAAGCACATACCGACAAAAACACATCCCTGCCAAAGAAAGATGTTATATCCATAGTGTGCGAAAGCTAGGTCCTAAAGAAACCAAACAAAAAATAAAACAATGATTCTAAACTATTTCACAAGACCTAAGACGCCTAGCCAAACTAACAAAACAGCAAATAGCGTACACGATTGAAACACGATTATTGTTTATGTTTTTCTAGGATAGGTAATCGATTGTCAAAATATACCTTAGAATACATTCATACTCATTATATTGACTGCAAACCTATTAACATTCCAAGCAGCAAGAGTTATCCATGTTTTGTATTGCTTGTCTGTTTGTCGTTGTTCTTTACGGATTGCGTCTGCTGTTTCAGGATCCAAAATGGCTGTCGGCTGTGGAGCTCAATGCGCTAAGTCACTTCTCATCATCTGTAATTTGATATTCTGGGTAAGGCTGCTTCAAATTACTTAGTAAAGTTGTACTGCTTTCTCAAGTTAACAAAAACAAATATGTATTTGAAGCTGGTAAAAATGTTAAAAGATTGGCAACTTGCAACTGTTGGATGCAACAACTACAATGAGCTCAGTAATAAAATGGAATGGTTTCTTTTCTCGCCAACAGGTGGCAGGAGTGGCAGCGCTCGGTCTGGGTATATGGATCCACCTCGACAAGGGCAAGGGTCACCTGTACAACCTGGTAACCATAGACACGGTTGGACCAGACGCAGTCAACCAGTTCAAGTATTTACTCATCGGTAAGGCGCAACTATTGTCTCACTTACACTAACAAAACGGCAAAAACGACAAAAAATCAACAGGCAAACGGATTTACATAGAGCGTCCTCTGTAAACTATTATTATTATTGTTTATTTCAAATTGTTTTTGAGTAATGCTATTTTTTTAAAAATTTACAATCAAGCTGATGTAGTTTTATAATTGATTATCAAAGTATACCACCGAACAGAGCAAAAAACGTTCTAAAAAAAACTTAAGCAACAAAACTCACAAAGTGCAAACTAGAATAATAATAACTATTTGTCGCAGGTTTGGGAGGAGTAACAGCGCTGGTGGCTTTGCTCGGTTGCTGTGGAGCCTGCAAGGAGAGCAAATGCATGCTGGGAACGGTAAGTACTGAGTAGAGCCCAGCGAAAGGCGATTAAACTAATTAAATTTGAATAAGTTATTGGTATACTTTTCAGAGTTATACATTAGACAATTTTAAAGTCCCACTTACACTTTGAACACTTGACTTCTTATTCATTCTAGCAATATTTGAATACTTGACTTCTTATTCATTCTAGCATCTCAAGTCTTAGAACACTAGCATCAATGCAAGAATGGATTGACTCTGGGCATTCCACACCAAGCTCGTCAGAGGGGAGTGTTTTGCTGAGTTTAATCGAAATCAGTGCTTTCATTCCGATAGTAAAACTGTGTTTGTGTTCACCATCGCTTCTTATGAGACACTCCCTTCACAAAGGCACCACACTTGCTCAATGCTTTAATTATCTTATGGTCTATCAATTGAAACACAGCCCACGATCTGCCAAATAACAAATGCAAAGCAGTAAACTAGTGACGCCATTTTCAGCAACGTGACTTCCCGTAGGAAGTATCTTTTGCAAGTATTAACACCAATGACCTCAATTTAGCACTTTGCCTTTCCATTGGCCGTACTTCTGACGTCACAAGACAAATGATGTCCTTTTGAGCATTTCCCTTCCGTTCCTTTTATTTTTACACAAATGACGCCCGTTTCAACACTTCGCCTTCCGTGTTTATGACGTCATTTTCAGCACTTCGCCTTCCTATTGGCCGTGTTCCTGGCGTGTTTACACAAATGACGTCATTTTCAGCATTTCGTTTTCCTATTGGCCGTGTTCCTGGCGTGTTTACACAAATGACGTCATTTTCAGCATTTCCCTTCCCACTGACCGTTTCTTTTGTTTTTACACAAATGACGCCATTTTCAACACTTCGCCTTACTTAGGTACTGGCCGTGTTTATGACGTCATTTTCTGCACTTCGTCTTCCTATTCGCCGTGTTCCTGGCGTGTTTACACAAATGACGTCATTTTCAGCACTTCGCTTTCCTATTGGCCGTGTTCCTGGCGTTCGCGGCGCTGGGCATCCTGGCGGTGACGTCACAGGCCACTCTGATCAGTGACGTCGAGGGGCGGCTGCAAAAGAGACTGAGGACCGGCTACAACCAGACCGAACAGGGTCTCTTCACCGTGGCTATGGACTTTGTGCAGGTGGAGGTGAGGCTGCCGGTTATCGGAAGGTCGCCGGATCGATTCCCAACAGACACACGCCTTTAAACTTAGCCAATTTTGATTGTCCTCACGTGCCTGATTGTGTTATGAACGGAGACCTTGTTTAAATAAATAATCGATATGGGGAAAGTTCATGTTTATTTTGCGTTTCGTTTTCCAATCGCAATCGCAATGACAGATTAGTCTTCATTTTCGTGACTTGGAGAGAAAGAGATTGACATGTTATGAAATATGAATGCGTTGCATTTATTACCATGAAGTACCCTAATATTTCACCAATGATATCTTCTGTGTCACTGCTGGAATTAAATGCCATTTCTTGTGTGCATGAACCAATTACTATTCGATGACGACTGGACGGCGGATTTAAATGTAAGCACTGCACAATAACCTTTGACTGTTGTGTTTTCCAGCGCAAGTGTTGTGGCATCCGCGACTCCACCGATTATTTCAACTCAAAATGGCGCAACTCAACTTTCGCCAAAACTCCGGAGCTAAAAGAAGTTCCTGACACCTGTTGCGTCATCAAGAATGAAAACGTGAGTCTTGAGCGACCCACGTGAGTTATGATCTGAGTGAGCACATAGTGACCCACGTGAATTCTAATTCTGGGTTCTGCTTTGAGTTGTAATTTGAGCTCCGATGATTCTGAGCGATCCTGTCCTTCGGACAATTATCCAAGTCAAGGCGGCTAGCAAACGTGTAAATGGAGCGAATTTTACTTCTGAGTAAACCAAAAGTGCAAGCAGGTTCCGAGCAGTTAGTTTAGTTTTTATGGTTCTGCTAAGTACTTAAATATTTACGCCGAGCTCAAGGTGAGCCGGTATCTATTGTTATAGGAAATCAGGAAAGAGAAACGACACTGCACAATGCACACATACCTACATTTTACAATCACAAAAAAATCACAAAATGGTGTGTTTTCAGGATAAGACGGCGTTCCTCCACCCGCGGCCTAAAAATTCCCAGCTCTGTCAATCATCCGACCCCAGAAAATACGGCACCGAGGAGGACGGAGGACCCTTCCGCCATACTGTGGTAAGCGTTATAGCTCGCGTAATTTCTGAGCCAACTCAAAACTGATTATGATGGCTGAATGGAATGAGCAGGTTGGAATTTGTTGTATCACTGAATTTGTGGCATTTGTGAACGAAACATCGTTTTTGCAGAAGTCTTATATAACTAGTTGCAACTTGCAAGCACCACAAGATGATTCCTAGCACGTATTTTATATTACTGACCGGGCCGACGAAATTATTTGGAAACGAGGTTTGCAAAATTGACGGAGGCCCGAGTGCGGAGCACGAGGGCCGGAGTCAAATTTTGCAAGCCGAGTTTCCAAATAATTTCGTACGGCTGAGGTCAGTAAGATTTTTCCTACATGCTGCATACCTGTTAAAGGAAAAGGGCCACCCTTAACATGGGGATTGAAACTGAGATAGCCATCTTGTAGCCCGTGTCCGAAAACCGGTCTGTCTACCACTTTACGGCCGATTTCGGCCTCTATTCGTAGTTATCGGCAATTTTAAAAGAAAATACGCCAGGAATGCGTCCTTATCCCAGGAATGCGTTCTTATCCGACAATACAGCCACCCGCGGCGAGGCTTTGGTTTTTTACCAATCAGCTCCAACCAGCTCAGCTCTAACCAATCAGCTTATCTGACACAATCCGACGAGTCTGTCTTCTGAACGCTGATTGGCTTGAGTGTGACGTCATCGCTATGCCATCATACAGTAGGTGCCGTAGAGAGTATCAACATAGTACCAATATGTTAAATAGTTTTAAATACTTTTTCGCGAATTGTGCACTTCTGGCACCAGTTTTAAAAAGAAAATGAAAGATAATAATGTCAAAATGAAAAACAACGATATCTTCATATTTCACGAAGGTGGCCCTTTTCCTTTAAGCAGTTTCGACAGGTTTTGGCGGCACTTTTATTATCCGATATTGTTGTCCATAATTTCCTAACAGTGATTGTGCTACTGCTGTGGATAAAGCTTTAAAGAAAATTTATAGAAGAAAATGCATCAAAACTCCTTACTTCAAAAAGAATCGCGTCTGAAAACATCAACTCAGAATGGCACAACAAGTTGATATCGGCAAGGAACATAATACATGAATGATTTGCTACGACATAAGAACAAGAAGAAAGCATAATATTCCTAGTGATTAAACGTGAATTTTCCAGTGCTCTTGCAAGAATCTTTCCTTTATTCATGTAATCGTACTTTGTTGATGCCCTATGGCTAAACTTCGTGAAATACATTATATTTTCCATATTCTACATGTTTGTTTCGAGGAAAGGACTACAAACTTTTGTACAAAATATTTCAAAACCCTTGATGAGCAGAGCAGATATTGTTTATCAAAAAGGTTGGTTTTCTAATTTTACGAGGCAAATATCATGCAATAATGATGTCAATTATACACTCCCTGTCAATCATACCTCTGGGCTAATGCGATAAACAATAGCTTAGAGGTCATTGCCCTGGGCAGTAAACCCGGGCAGTAAACTTTTGTTTACGCCCGGCCTATCAAATAACATGTCATTTTGACACCGACAGTTTCTTGGTCATAGTTTTACCATAGTGTAATAAATAACACTTATTATTACACTATGGTATGGTTTATGGTTATTTATTACACTATGGTTTTACTGCCCGGCTCGTGCTGTGCTTAACCCGCGAGTTGCTGGGGGGGGGGGGCGTTAAACGCCCCCACTTTTTTCGCCGGGCCATAGCATAAAAACCCAAATTTTGGGTACCTGTAGGGAATTGATTGAAGTTTATTGTGACAAAGTTTCCAAAAAATCGGTCGGAAAATTTTTCAGATATCGAGGTTTTAGTGACGTCATGATTTCTGAGTTTTCGACCAAAAACGGCATATGTTCAAAAAATCATATAAAATCACAGAATAGATATACAGACATGCCGTAAACGCCATTAGACTGCCAATACCATGAGCAATCTAATGGCTATCTTCGATTATTGATTATTGTTCCGCATTTTCCAAAATCTTGAACTAAATCTTGGCAATTTCTCGTGACTAGTTACTTAACGACCATGATACATCAATTTCTTAAATTGAACTTTTTGAGCCAAACTCGTACACGTATGAGAAAAAGAATGTCACCATCGTGTTCTACGCTCCAAATTACCCATAAAACATTTACATGTGTCACAGGCTGCGAATATCAGTTTTGATTTTCGGGGATATGTGCCTACCCGGTTGACCTGACCTTGACCCTGAACTATGCTTGACTGACCCCTACATGGAGCTGACACTCTTGTAATCCTTATATGATGGATTGTGCACCGTTTTAACAGAGTTTATGACGAGAGGCGCCCATTGCGAAGTCCTGAAGTCCATGCTACTGAAAGTCCGATTTCCGGTGTTTGACCTGACCTTGACCTGACCTGTGACCTCAAAATTCAACTTTCAAGTACTCAGCTGAAGCGTCTCGTCGCGCTCTTTCGTTTGCCGCCTCGTGCGTTTCGCTGCGCCTATTGGTTCTCGAGTATCGGCTGGGGGCGTTTAGCCGTTTAACGCCCCCCCCCCCCCCCCCCCAGCAAACGGTGGGTGGCGAAATACCCCAGCAACTGCCGGGTTAAGACATACCCCGGCATGTAGGAAAGCACTTGAGTACACCGAATTGTTAAGTGACTACTGACTTGTAATGTTTGAACGTATCATTTGCCGGATATTGTTTAAATGTTTATAGAGCAGGAAAACATTGTGAAAGCTGCGTTTTGTTCTTCCCTCGTAGTCGTGAAGATGACAAATTACTCTAGCACAAACCATCCGTTTTTCATCGAAGAAAAAACCAATACCACTTCTCATCTTCAAAAAAAGACAGCAACAAACGCTTATAAACAAACATCACAACCTAACAAGTAACACGAGACGTCTATCATTGACGTTCCCATTTCTCCTCATCTCAAACCCCATTGAGCAGATGGCGCCACGTGCTATCACGCCATGACCACACAGATGTCGCTGTGATCGCGAACTCCGTCCGCTAACTACGTGCTGTGGTTTTCCACCAGGGCTGTATGGCAGAGATCCAACGGTGGTTCGATCAGGAGACGACCATCCTCCTCTGCGCCTCGCTAGGACTCGCTGGTCTGCTGGTAAGCGCCTGTGGTCATACTCTGCATGCAATCGCGGACCAGGGTCCAGGGAGTCTAGGCTGGAGGGACAGAGAAAGGACTTGGCAATGCCAGACGGATAGGTATAAATCAATGCCTGTTTTTTCCCTGATAGCTGGAATAATTGTTCTAGTTTTTTTCATTTATAATTTCTCGCACGTTGGCCGACATTGAAGTTGTCTGCTCAAGACCGAGAGGGGGCCAGTAAAACGAAACAAAATTTTGACGTTTTTTTGTCCCTTTCTGGTTCACCGTTCAGTCATCTCTTCACCGTCTCTACAGTTACGAGCATATAAATTACGAGCTCAAGTACAATAATTGTTTGACGAGATGCTGTTAATAAAAAGAAAAATAGACCCTTCCTAGCCCCAATACCTTCACGTAATCCGTGTTTGAGTAACTTTATTTTTATATGGTAGAAGTGCACTCGTATACCTATGAATAACTCTTGTTGGGCAAATCAAATCCTGACGCTGGTCTGACGACATTTCCCTCCTAACAAAACGGGATACATGGACGAACCGCTTCAGACATGTTTACAATAACCTACTTTCTTTCTTTTTTGCAGGTTTTCGGCATGCTATTCACCGTCTGCTTATGTCGAAACGTCGAGGAGGAAGAAACTGCCTGAGCGCGTGGTGCGAAGACCAATCACAACAGAGCTTACTCGAGACAAAGTCCAACTCTACACTGCTAGTAGAACGCACACATGCGACCCTAAGTCCTGACCATCGGCCAGTATTCTCTGCTGTATGAGTTCAGTACTGACACAGGAGTAAGTAAGTGGTGGCCACTCGTCAGTTTATGGTGAATCTCATGTTATACCTGTATCTGTGAACGGTCGGTGTGGATGTCTTATATTATGTGTGATACGCTCCCGCTAAAAAAAATGTGTCCACGGCTGGATCGTAATCGACATTTGACGTTCTTGCTGATCAGAACAAAAACTGCAAAAGATGGAAGCACACAAATGAAATATCTGTCCCTGAACAGTTGTCAACACAAATAACGAACTCTTCGACAGGACAGCAGAAGGCGTAATTTTACATTAAAATTCAGTATGTAACTCTGCGGCGGTGCTTATGTATCTCACTAGAGTAACCTACAGCGTGCAGTGGTGTAATTTATTCGTAATTAAGCTTAAAAGGCGAAAATCGGCGCGCTAACCACTTATAAACGATCTGAACAAAGATCTACTCGTTACTCGTCAATCGCAGATGAAGCAAGCGGGACATCAGAACTTTCCCTGAAATCCCATTGCCACTTGGATCAGGATGATGAGCCATAGAGTGTTACTGTGTGATTTCAATGGAAATAGGTAGACTCTGTGTTGTTTGTCGCTTTAAAGCTGCGGCGAGGACGGCTCAAACTTGAGCGCGAATGGTCGGTAGCATGGCTTGAAGAGTATCACATTCATGTGGTCGCCTTTTTGGTCATGAATTGCTGCGTTTACTCTTTTGCCTAGCGGTGTTTGCAGAAAAAAATAGTCGCCAATACATTGAATATCAATGTATCGACTACTATTTGTCGAATATACGCCTGCAATGTTACGAGCGCTAAGAGTATTCTGGCACTGAAAGTCGTATTGTCTGCTGTTTAGATTGCTGTTACGCATACATGACCGACTGAAGTACTCGTACGTACCTTCTAGGTCATCTGTTTTATGTGAGCAAAGTGCAATCAAGCTCGTGTTGTTTGATTGTCACTTCTCCATCGTATATGTCGTCGGTTAAATCTTCTCCATCGCTTTTAGGCCTATAGTTGTAAAATGATATGTCACGTTTTCCTTCTGGATAAATACATGTTTATTTTGTAAATTGACTCTTCAATATTATCCTGGAGGAGACATTCGATGAGGTAGTGTATGCAGGTAAGTAGAAGTAGTGTGCACCGGCCACCGATCATGACGGCCAACAAAAGATAGCTGCTCTTAGCCCGGTAACATAGTCGTTCAGGTAGAGCTATTGGGCCAATGCTGATAGAGTTCGGATGCTTACGTTATATGTGACTGAAATTGCGATTTGCGAGTCATCAACAATTAGTTTTTATGTGTATTTCCTGGACTGACTCGGTGTCAGAGTTTGAAATGTACGGCCTGGCCACAGCGAGGGTAGGAGCACTTTAGCATTTTCGGATGTAGCTCAGAACTTGATTATTTTCAGCTACCTTCTCAGTTAGGTAGGTATGCAATATGTATTGAAACACTCTATGTAGCTAGCACTTAAAACAGGGCCGTTAATCAAATCATTTAATCCAGTGCGATAACCAAAGCAAGCAGACGTCATAAATGCGCATGCGAGTCTTTTGATAGTTTTGATAGGGTACAATCATTCCGACGCCCATGGCCGTAGGCTCACCATGCTGAGATCCGCCTGAAAAAGTGGCGGCAAAGCGAGTGGTGAGTGGTGGTTAAGTGTATGTTATAGGGAAGCTCCGAGAAGTTTTTCAACATGGGAGAAGACAAGGTAAGTTATGTTTTTCTTATGCATCTATCCCGAGATTCATATTTTGCTAGCTTTGAGCTACAGTCATGTTTTTGCTTAGTTTAACATGGTTCAACTGGGCTGAGACTTCTATGTACTTACCCCTCGCCGTCCGAGGGGGTGGCGGGTGCCGCCCCCCATAGGTTTTTTTTCGCGATAGCTCCAAACGCGCAAGCGATAGAGAGCTAAAACTTGACATACCTAACCTTTGATTCAGGCCGGATCTTTTGACACCAACCGCATTTTCGGGTCGGGTCAGGTCACTGACCTATGGCGTCATAAGTGAACCTCTGCAAGGTCTTCAGATGTCGCAACTTTGCAACGCCCTCACTGCCAGAGGAGCTTTTACAGGGAAATGAAACTTGCAGGATCTAGTACCCATTACAAGTCTCATAACTTGTATATCTCGGATTTTTCCTAAAGGTCATATGAAGTCAGGTCATTTCCGTGACCTCACCATTATAAGTCAATGGGGAAAAATAAAAACTGCTATTCTGGCGCCGGGAACGATTTTTAACTATCTCAAGCACACAGAATCGTGATTTTATGCACTCCTTGCATGGTTAGATGCGTCACTTTTGCAATGTTGGCCTTGCGTGACGTCATTTATGACGTCATCAAGGTCATATTAGTTTTTCGTCAATAACTCCCGATCAAATTAAGCTAGCGAGACGGAAAAGTCACCAATGGACTCAGGAAGATCTGCCGAATCGAATGATATGCGACATAACCTCTTTTGACCAACTTCGTGACCTGGGGGCGCTGACCTGACCGTGACCTGAGGTCAACACAAAACCCTAAGTTGACCTGACCCATACAAAAAGTATATCATTCGACGCGCCTGAGCGAGGCGAACACGATGCTGCCAAAATCGCGGCTCTGTGGCCGTTTTTTGCGAAGTTATTCACCAAAAACTGAATCGTACCTGGGGCACTTGACCTAACCTCAGAGGCCACCGGTTGACCTAGGACCTTAAAATCGAGTACCAATATCTGCGTCTCGTAACGGCGCACACGCTCGTTTTTTTCCGCGACGCGCTAGCTTCACCAGGGGCGAAACGGCGAGGGGGGTCGTACCCGCCCCCGCCCCCCTCGGCCGGCGCGTATGTGGAAAACCAATAGGTCCGGCGAGGTTTAAGTCGGTGAAATGTAGTCAGGAAAACTGATTTTCAGGATGCATACAAAAACAATACATATAAAACACCGGATTTAGTTGTAATTCCGCATAATGCTGTAAATTACGAACGAGAATAAAGAACGAAGCGAGTTTTTTAGTACAACAAAAACTCTTAGTCGCGTTCTGCTGGGGGGGGGGGGAGGGTGTTTGAACACCCCCTGCGGTTTTCAACAATATCTCAAAAACGGCGGAAAACGTTTTTTTTTTCGGAAAACGTTTCTCTGCAGTGACTTTTGACACCAAGCATGTATTACGTTGATTTTACCAGTTTCGCGTTTCTCTCGTACAGACGCATTCGAATGAACTATAACATGACCTAAAAAGATCAACTTAAAAATTTAACCTCAAGGTCACAGAAAAATCATGCTACATATCAGTCGATAGTGCTGCTTGTTGAAATATAATATACCGTAAGGTGGGGCCGCATTTGAGACGGATTAACAGTTTTTGCCTCTGCCTTTAAAATGGTTCCTATTTCATATAGCATGTAAATAGCAGAAATCTAGTTCTCTGTGACCTCTTTCCGAAAGACGCATTTTGGTGCAGCTAGTGATAATGAAAAAGGAATTTTCTTTAAGTTAAGCCTGCCTCAAATAGCCGCACAGGGCTGGGCTATTCGAGACAGTTTTAGTTGCAAAGAAATTGATGAAAATCGGTTAAGCAAGGGATAGTTTTTTATCGCAATGAGATTCCAAATTAAAATTTGGTCCTTTCGACAAAATATTTTCCGGAAATACTGAATGTTTACTACCTATATAATCAATTGTTTTCCGTATTCGTAGGACACAGCACTTAGGTCAGTTATAAAATTGCATCATTTTATGCTAGGGCTGTGATGATATGATGTGATGCTTAACTTTCAAAATGATAGGATAATTATCAATAAGTATTCATAAGTCGACAGTGAAATTTTCCGGTTACGTTTTTGTACGTAACTCTGGCGGCGCAAAAACAGATATGTATACCCAAAGTTGGTGGGACTATTTGAGACAAGCTCGCCACCCCATAAAGCACACCTAAATGTATAAAACAAGGCAAAAAAAAATTTAAAAAAATATTAAATGAATGGTCCGTAAGACCGATGGTTCCATTACACATCACCCTGCGTGATATCAGAGAAATGTGGAACGGTTTTGATTATATACCGATTTTCCTACATCGCTGCATGCTGTTTCAAATGGCCGGTTACAGCACCACATCGAACTGGCTCATCAACAGCACGTCCGGATGCCAAACAGCCCCCAACGGTATGTCTTCTGGCCAACCAGAATTGACATGAGAAATAAAGGTTCTAAGAAAAATAAAGTGGTGTCGATTTCACCTCCAAGTTCGGTGCCCTGACACCGCCTATGAATAGATATTCTAAATCAAGCATTTTATCACATGTTTTTAACATAATAAGACCATTCCTAACCCATTTCGGTGACCGCACCAGAAAAAAAATGATTTATTATACATTTTTGTATACCTCCAAAGTCAATTACCTGTAACTGCCTATCATTTTTTCGAAATGCTTATTTTGATGATACGTGTCTATTTCTGGCTAATTTTCCATCCGATAAGCAGTAGTTGCGTCCAAATCGGTTGAAAACATGGCCGTTGCGAGCAGTTGAAAAGGCATCTGCAATTTGCAGTTTTTATCCCTCTATGTACTGTCCCCTCCCCCTATTTGTTTTTTGGGGATTTCTCTTTTTCAAAATGTAGATCACGTTGAGTGGGGTCGGATGCCGTTTGAGTTTAAAGATCGGCCGATTAGATCTCGAGATATCACTGGAGGTTCTTAACAGCCCCCCCCCCCCCGCCACCAGTAGGGGTAGCCAGGAGCCTGCCACTAATAGGGTTACCGTTAAAGTAGGTATTCAACTATTCAGCCGAGCGCGCCCCGCTGGCGGGGCAAATTCTGCTTCCGCTTCCTAAGGTATCTTCGAGAAGCAACTATAAGCATAGTTATAAATGGACAAGTATTGTATCGAGAGTACATGAACCTCCAGGCTCCACGAATCAAACTATTAAAACAGTTACATTTAAGGCGTACCGGTTTCGTCTATTGACTTCTTCAGCGCCGTATGAAACAAGGAACAAGAAAACGAGCACAACATCAATCGTTTGAAATAAATAGCACGTATTTCTGAGAACAAGGTCAGAGTAGTCGGGTACCTCCTAAATAAAACGAAATCATACATATTTTCGTGAACATGTAACAATCTATTCGCAACATGATATTACAATAGCTAAATAGTATTATATCAATTGACGGTGCATATAATATGTTTTCACTTCTCTCACTCTTTCACTCTCTCTCTCTCTCTCTCTCTCTTTCTCTCTCTCTCTCTCTCTCTCTCTCTCTCTCTCTCTCTCTCTCTCTCTCTCTCTCTCTCTCTCTCTCTCTCTCTCTCTCACTCTCTCTCCCTCCCCTCTCTCTCTCTCTCTCTCTCTCTCTCTCTCTCTCTCTCTCTCTCTCTCTCCCTCTCTGTTCTTTTCCCACCTCCCTCTCTTTCTCTCTCACTCTCACTCTCTCATTCTTAATTTTTATCTAGATCAATGATGCTCAATTGTGCTGCAGATTTCGCCCATTTTATAAACCCCCCGTTCGTGTTGATCGTTTCGTTAGTTGCGATGTACGCTGCTTCGGTTGCTTTTCTAATCGCTTTTGAAGAGCATGAAGCTATAATTTCTGTCCCCTCCCAGTTCGGTAAATGTCCCGTTTTGTTCGCATGAGCCACAAAAGCGCTATGTTCCATAAAGTTACGAAAATCTCGTTTGTGCTCCTTCAGTCTAGTTTTTGCTCCCCTGCCTGTTTCTCCTATGTATGCCTTTTCACAAATCCCGCACGGTACCCTATATACTACACTCTTATCTGACTTGTCTTTCTTTTCTTTCTTTCGTATCATCTCGCCTATTTTTCGACCAGATGTCACAGCTGTGCGCGCGCCCGTCGTCTCGATTCGCTTGGCTACTACGTTCGCTAGCTTCGAATTCGGTATGGTAAGGTAACGTTCGTTTTTCTTTCGCTGTCGTTCAGTCTCTGCTCTATTTCGGATCTCCATTGCCTTCCTTTTCAGATTTAAAAGAAGGCCCTTAGGGAACTTCAGTCTAATAAAAGAATCTAAGACATGTTGGATTTCCTGCTCCAGATACTCTTCGCTACATATGCGATA